AAAATACAATTTTTTGCAAACAAGAAGGGAAAATAGAATAAAATAACATTCGCGGAAGAAGGTTGAGTTGTTGTGAAGATTGAACAGTTTCGGTTATCAATCGGAAAAGTCTCAGGGAAACTGCAATTGAAAAAACGTCTGATTCGAGTTCTGATAACGCTCAAAAATGGCCATTTATAAGTCTCACACAGTCTTTGTTGGAAGATTGATCTGAATGTTAAAGAAAAGAGAAACTAAAAAGTTTAGTCAATGTTACCTACTTACCCCATTGGAGTGATTATTGGGCCCCAACGACCTCTCTTCCACCTTGCCCTTATCCATCAGAGACTGAATGAGTGAAGCCACTCGAGTGCACTCTTCTCGATTAAAAAACCAAATGCCGAAAATCTTCGTCTTGCTCCTGTAGAGTAAAAAGGGCAACTGCACTTGGTAATCAAAGTCCTTAATAATGGGTTCGATGAAATTGTCTTTGTTCAACCTGTTGAAAATCATTATACTGTGAAAGGGCTCTCCATTTCGGCTATAGAGGAACAGGGCGCCCTCCTTGTCAGCTTTCTCCCACACATTTTGGGGAACATTAAATTTGTACAACGCCACTTGGGTTGCAGTCGCTAAAATGCTTTTAACATATGGGTCTACTCTTTTCAGAGAGTTCAAGCTGGCACGCAACTCAATAGAATCAGCCATACTCATCCAAATAGAAACAACAGTAAACTACGAAACTCTACACATATAATTAAAACCCTGGTTGCTGTACAGATTGGCCGAGGGGTCACGACTTTGCACTAATTACCCTTTGAGTTCCATTCCGAGAAGTTTTTTGTTTAAAAATAATCAAACTCTTATGGCATCTCACCATTTTCAAAACCTCAAAATGCAAAACCCAAAACTAGACATGCATTTTTGCCAACACGGAGAGAAAAACACCCAACAATTCCCGACCAAAACATACCTTTGAGGGTTAGGAAATCCTTCGCTGACTGAAATCCGCGACTGAAATACTTCAAATGTCACGCATTTTCTGCTATTTTATCGCAAATCTTCACCCAAATGTATTCCAAAGCCGACTATTTTTTATCTTTCCATTACTTTGGCGTTATTTGAATTTTACTTTGAAACTTGTTGGATTTTCTGTGAACAAAATCGCATCTGCGGCTACTAGATCCTGCCTATAACTAAATGGCAACTCGGTTCTGACTGATAAATATTGGTTTAAATACTTGGTAATTTGACCAAAAAAACACAAAAATGCCTCAATAACAGGCCTACTCAACACGATTGCGAGCGCAAATAAAATAACTAAAATTAACCGGCACTAATCACTGTCCTCTATCTGTCTCTCTGTCATTAGCCCCAGATAGAACAAGGTAGCTATAACGAAGCACTTCAATTCCGGTAAGGAAACACCGACAACCCCGCAAATCTGTCTCTAACCTTACGACATCTAGGCGAGCTGGAAAATGTCACTGTTAGAAAATTCCATATAAATTCGAGCTTATCAGGACAATCAACGGCGTTATTCTGTTGATTTCGGTGTCAGCAAATCGGCCAATTTATTCACAAGGCTCGAATGTGAATCTGTTGAATCCTGCGGAAATGTCGCGGTCAATTCGAGCGGAAACACGCAGCAGAGCCAAAGATGATATCAAGAAGGTGATGAACAACATTGAGAGGGTTCGCCATTGGTAAGCCAATCGATAAAAAAGTCCTCATCCATGTGTGAAAGTCCAATGGATTTTTGGCAAACCGCCCACCCGATTCATGGGAGATTAATAATACTTGGCTGTAAGGCCAAACATCCGCAAATTAAGGTGTCTTTTGTTGTTGCTTTCAAACGCATAAAAGTAGCAATAAACCACGCTGTAACAGGCTCTGAAGGCCAATTTTGTGGGGATCGAATAGACTGCCAAAACCTGGCCAGAGACTAGACTCACATACAGAGTTTCCAGTTTTAATTACCCACAAGACTCAAACGTAAAACCCAAAGCTTTGTGGTCATTTTGCAGTTTATCAAGATTCGCGTTTCAAGTAAACAATAAGTTTCTTTCGAACCGAACGAAAAAATCTTGAACACAGCATGGGAAACTTTTAATAAAAACGTCACTATAGGCACAATAGAGAAGCATTTAGTAGCGCCAGATCCAAAACAACCTAAGCTCAAAACTAGTAGACAAATAATGAAAAACTTATCAAGTCCAATAAGCCTGAGAACTTGTGATTCTTGAACTTGCAACAGGCGTTCGAACACATCCAATTGAAACCCACAATACAGTTCATCTACAGCAGCCAAGTCCCTCACAACCCAATAAAAACCATCGAAAATATACGAGTCAAATCAGGGTCAGGCCAGAATCCACATTAAAATTAGCACTCGACAAGCAGACTCTTTAAATTCATTCCATTTTCACTCTATTACTCAAAGAAAAACTCATTGTTCTATAAAACTACACCAATCACTCTGTAGAAGGATTTATTATTATTATTGTTTCAGGGAGAAAAAATGGGTGACAATAGGAGACACAACAATGAAAATTTACAAATGGGTACCGGTAACAAACAGTGAAACGAAGAAAATCAAACACAGCAGAGAAAACAAAGAAAACTTTGCCCGAAAGAGCCTTGGTGCACCTTTATTGGACACATCAAATTCTAATTCAAATTTCAGTCTGGCTGAAGACTCCAATACTTGTAAGTCTCCGGGTGAGAATTTGGCTTTGATTTTAAGGGGCAATTTATTTTAGGTTTCTCAACGGTCAGCGATTCGCAGGGTCCAACTGATTTTTCGTCTCATATGACCTTCTCAGATGACTCAAACTCTCAAGGCAGTGAACAGCTGTCTGTAAAAAGACTGAAAACTGAATGAGGGTGGTAACTAATCGATTGTAAAGTATTTGAGTTGAGCTTCTGATCGAACTAAGTTTTGTATATATTGTAGGTATATAAATTAAATTTTTAAGGCTTATACAGATGTTAGATCACCGAAAACCAAACTAATTGTTTAAGTTTTGTTATTAATTGCATTTTATTGATTGACAAACTCCACATACCGCTATAAATACATTAATTTATATAACAATGCAAGAACTCCCTAACATGCGGCCTCTGTTAATCGAATGGTTTCTTCAGTTTACAATATAAGGAACTTGTAATCTTAGCTATATACAGTTTTAAACGAATGTAGGCCTGACTGGAGGCCCCGTCAAGCCTAGGCCATATTCAGGCGTTAGTTAACTACACTCAAATCCGTATGTATTGTTTTCCAGGCAGTATTAAATACCTAGCGATTTAAGGTCTGTACGACCCCGTATAGCATATACTGAAACACTGAATGTTTTAAAAGTCGACGTTGCTTTTATTTTGAATTCCCTTTCAGATACGAACTAAACAAGTCATTTATGGACACTTCACAACACAATAAATATACTTGGTGGCGGCAACAGCAATTAAAGACGTATAAAACGTTTCATAAATCATTATTGCTTTAAAATACATTTCCTTTCAGTCAGCCCTTAAATGCCAATCGCTTTTAATATAACGTAGTTAATATTGCAAAATTAGGACTGTGTTCCCAAACAAACACTAAATAATTCCTCCTTCCGCTTAAGTGAAAGAAAAACAATTTAGCGCATAATAAATCATGATACTGAAGTGTAGGGGTACTTTATATAAATAATATAACAAATTGCAGCGAAATTAATAGTTAAATAAAATACTCTAATGCGGCAGTCTGGTTTACCATAACGTGTACTGAAGATATATTAAACACCACTACTGGACTGGATACAAATTATACAAATAATACTTATCTTTAACCTAATATACAGAATACAGCAATTCCAGAACATAAAAATTTGCCATTAGTAAAATAAAATTCCCTTTAAAGAAACTGTTGCAGTATTCTGCATATCATTCGCCTAGGAAAATTTGCCACGCGGTGAACCTCAGTGTAGAAGCTTAGGCCGTTTGATATTCGCATGGAGGAAATTGATTTGCAACCATATAGCTTAATCTAGGAGAACGATGACTAGAAAACAAGTCTACTTTTTATCAAAAAGAGGCAACTTAGACCGAACAGCGCCCTCACAAATAACCAGTCTGGAACATTTTGGCCTCTGCGGATTCAAACTGATGCCGGATCCTGAAGCCGTTGAAGAGTTATGTCGCTCCAACGATCTTCGCAGAGCCGCAATCCTCGAGCTGCTCAACTGCAACCCGCCCCTAACGCCCCCAGGGTGTCTCAAAGTCGCCCCCTTTTTTTCAAAGTAATCTACGATTGTCGATATGTTCGGCTGCAAGTCCGCGAAACAATCAGACCCGCCCAGACTCGAGATGTCCTCACTGCTATCAGTGTAGATGGACGATGCTCGTTTGCACAAGGCTTGCAGCTCGGCCGGCTCCAGCTCATCTAGAGACCGCAAGGAACTCACGGCAGTGCCACTGTCGCCCCAAAGGCTGCTGGGAGACAAGCACTCGCCAATACTAGAGTAGAACCCCGATTCACACGAACCGCGCCGCCGTAAATTAACCGAAGTGGCCCCTTCATTAGCGCCCATAATTTCCGATAAATTGCTACTAGACCCGCCCTTGTACAAGGGATGAACGAACAGGGAAGACTTACTTTTAGCACATTTCCTTGTGGCTGTCGGCGAACCGGGCAGCGACTTTGGCGCCTCGGCATTGGAAGACTCGATAAACGGAGAAGGCAACTCGCAACAGGACGAGAACTTTCCCAGCAACTTTTTCACTCCATGGAACTGGGTCAGGGCGGCAAATGGATTGGTAGTGCGCGGCTTGTAGTGCGGATCTTGTTTGCACATGGTGAGGGCGTGTCGACGCGCTTTGTCGCTCGGCGACAAGAACATTGAGAGCGCCAGCACGGATACGTCTTCTGAAAGAGACCGTCGATGAACAACTGCAAAAAATAGAGATAATTTAAATTTTAGTTCTCCTGGCTAATTTAAAATTTAAAGCACGCTTGGGTAAATTGCAAAAGTGTTAGGTCCGTATTTATAAACGATCCCCAAATTCAGACTCGCGCCCTTATTCCAAGCATCGTTTACAAATACGGCTTTTTCCGGCGAGTGCCTTGCAAACTCCCACACTTTCCTAATACATTTTATTGGAAAATCTGGTTTTCTGATTAAAAAAAATAACAATCAAACCCGGACCAACGCCGTTAAAAATACTTACTTTTCCTGTGCTGGGGTGCACAAGACTGTTGAATAATCGCGATCGGCAATTGCTCCTCACTCTTGGCCGCGCAGCTGGAAATACTCGTTTCCCTACTCTCCGTAACTTTGTTCATCTCGTTCAAAATATCGCCAAGTGTATGTTTGATTTCCGTGAAAGTTGGCCGACTTTTCGGGTCTATGGTGCAACATCGAAAAGTAAGTTTTAAAAAGTCAGGTACTACATTTGGACCGCACAGCTCGGTGAAAGCTAGATAATCCAGGCCGAAGTTGTCTGTTCTCGGTAACTCGTCGGGGTCGGCTTCCACTCGGGCGATTAACTCGCACAGCACAATTCCGTAGCTGAAGACGTCGCTGCGTTGATCGTAATAAAGCCCCTGAAAATCACGTTAGGGAATGGATGTTATATATTTTTTAAAATATCGCCTACCTTGAGGCATTCTGGAGACATCCAGTAAGGCGATCCAACTGTGCAGAGCTTGTTTTTGCTTTCCGGGTCCGGGATGTTGGTGGACAGGCCAAAATCGCCGATTACGGCTTGCCGGTGGTCGGACTCTAGGCGTTTAATGAGAACATTCTGTAAAGAAAGCCAGGCAATAAAATTTTCGTCCAATTTTCCTAGAAACCGCTAACGCACTTTACTGGTCAAGTCCCTATGAATGATTTCCTTGGAGTGCAGATATTCCATACCGCAAGCCATGTCGCGAGCGATACTCAGCCTGAGCTCTTGGGGCAAGTCGATCGATCCATTCTGGATCACCTGATCCAGTGAACCTCCATTACAAAACTCAGTGAGAGCATGCAATTGCCCTTCATGCACACACACCCCTTTCAATCTATAACAAAGTGAAACTTGATGAATGGAATTTTGGCTTGAAGAGACCACGCACCTAAGAATATTTGTATGGGACAGTCTGTTCATTAATTGCACTTCTTTTAGCATGTTGCGACGGTTGGAACGGAGCTGGTTCATTTTCAGGACCATCACTTGTCCTGTTACTTTATGGGTCACCTGCAAGGGTATTCAATCCACAGATTAATAAAAAAATCCAACATCCAGCAATAATCTCTTATATATAGGGATTAGTAATTAGTTTATATTTATACGACAAGAAATGATGTCAGCTATTGGATCACGTCATTTATTATTATTGTTTGGCACATTTGATAAGATAGTAGCGGTGTTAACGCTTTAGATTCAAGATTGATAACCTGCCATAAAAGCGCAGAAAACAATTCATTGTCTACTGATAATCAGGGGCGGATTAGGGAGGAGGGGTTAGCAGAGGCTGTAGTTCCGGGCTCCGTAAACTCTGAATATTTAAAAAAATGGGCCCCATATTGATGTCAGTCCCGGGCCTCGTAAAGCTTTAATCCGCCCTTGCTGATAATGCAGCTTTTTTCCGAGTATTAACAAAAATAAAACAATCGTTTAAAAACCGAATTCGCAAACCGTCTTGTTTTCAAACAGCGACCTTCTGTTTCAACCGCCTTAACCTTTACAAATAAGGAATTACGCGAGGATACTACTATGAGTTCGCGTCCCCTGCCTGACACACATATATAAATTAGTCATTAAACAACTACACGATTTAAGTACAGAAGCATATGGCATGTAAATAATTAAGAAATGCAAGGCGCTTTCGCGATGTAGGCCGAAATAAGGTGGACTGTGTGCACTTTCGGTGCTTAGTAATCATTCATTAAAAACTTTTTTAGATCCCGCACATGCGGAAGCATTTTTGGTCTGTATCGTTTTTACGAAGATCCGGATGAAATCTAAATGGTTTAATCCTTTTTAGCAAACTATTGTCCGAAAACTCCACAATCCTAGTAATACTTTATCCGTACAAGTTCCCACAGAGTATATTTGATGTAAATTAAAAACAATGATTTATGATTTTGATAAAATCCCCCAAACCCCGATTTTACCCAATTATTAATATTTACTTTATAAAATTTCCTGGTACGTAATTGTAAATAGACTGTAACGTATTGTTTACTCCACTATAAAGCACAAAACAACGCAAAGGTTTACTAATTGGAAGTTTGCGGTAACGCTGCAGGCAATTTTTCACTTAGATCCAGCTAAATTAACTTTTAATTAGAATCTAGCAGATTCTTAATATCTTTTACATCATGCATCTTTAATGCTGATTAAAAAATGCTCCAATTGCTGCAGTGGTTTTACTTTTTTAAATTCATACATAAATTAATTTAAATAAAACTTGAATTCCTCGCTTGAATCGGTTACAGTAGCACAAAGATAAATTGCAGCTGATTTATAGCGAATTTTGAAAAAAAATAAGGAGTTTCCGTTAGTTTTATATTCAGAATATGGCTTGGGCCTCCGATCTGTTTCAATCACGTAGACGAAAATCTGTGCTAATCTTTTGTGAAGTTGCAAGTTAAGAGTCTAGTAATATCATACATTGTAACTAATTTTTCTCCCCGGCATCCGTCGCTTGTTGATTTTGATTATGAAAAACACCATTTTTTTACATTTTTCCTGAGTAGTAAAAAGGGGGCCTGACGTTCTAAAAACCATCACCCTGCATACTTTGAAGTCGGTTAAATTATGTGGAAACTTGTGCACCATCAGCGGTAATCTGGGGTTAAAATTCCAGTAAATGATCGCAAAAACTATAGAAACTGTGTGCAAAAACGTATTAAAAAATCCAGAACTTTCGCAGCCTGTATCTCAAAAACCAAGCGTTTTTTTCAACAGGTTTATATAACAAACTCTTAAAAAACCGTGTTTTATTCAAGGTGAACACCCTGTATATGTATATATGCCACACTTGTTTTAGACGTTATAAATAAATTGCAGACATCAATAAACCAGATGAAACCTCAGTAAAGCTAATTATGTTGACAAACGGATTAGTTGCAAATTACGTTATGAATATGGGCCTCGTAATCTCTTAAGCCTCTATTTTTTGGAAAAAAACACTCGGTAGGTATTTAGATTCAAAAAGTTGTTTTTTTGACGTGAGTTATTTGCCTCCTCTTGGACAGTTTTTAATTAACAGTCTTCCTTGGGTGGTTTCGACCAGGCCAATTTTGCTCATTTCACCTACAATCTGCTGTACTAATTTCCTCTGGTTATCTTATCGATAGTTGGGTAAAGAATGTCTTAACGCATGATTGTGATAGACCGAGGACGAATTAGCTTATCTTAAGGGCCCCATTTCCAGCCCGGCACTTTGGAGTAGGCATTGTAGCTCATGACGAAGCAGATTCAAGGTGTTTCAAGGTGCAGTTACTTGGCTGAATTTCCCAGTTTCTTACGTTTTTTTGATCGAATTGTGGTTGCTGTCTTACCTTGAAAACTTCCGAAAAAAAGCCTGAGCCAATTTTCTCCTTGTGGAAGTCGTCCAGCCTATGTAGAGCAGAAACTGCATGTTTGAGGGCTTGACAAGAGGAGCCAGTCTTCAGTCGATCACACCTGGTTTTGGGGGGTTCTGATAGTTCGTTATTGGGGCAAAACAGCTTCTCATAGTCACTATCCTTTGGGTCACATGGAGTGTCATATATGCAGGAATTTTGTTGAGAGATGGTACCATATTTGCTAACAGGGTGCATTATACCAAGTAAAACCACTATGTGTCGTTAACCAATTTCGTACATATTTCCGTACGAGTTATGGAAGTGTTGTAAGTCCTCTTGTTGCACATACTTTAAGATTTACCTGTTTATTTTAACATCACTTTCAAAAGGGGCTTTCGAAACCGACCCGAATTGATGACCAGTGAGTGATTTGGGTGCCAAATTGTTTGGTACCAGATTTTGGGAGGGAGTGAGGATTTTGCACCTGCAGCCAGCGGAAATATTTTCCTCAAAAACTGCGTAAACACACAAGTTTCTTTCCACTTTACAATTTAAATTTAGAAATTTCTACTGTCATCAGTCCAGATATTAAGGTGTACAAAATCCAAAGTGATTATTTTCAGAAACGACTCGATTTTGGCGTTTTTCGTTCGACACAATGTTCCCGTTTCACTGCCACTATTTTCCAACTTAAACCGATTTTCATCGAAAAAATACACACGTAAATACAGAAACACTATAAGCTTTCTCTCATACACAATCAGCTTAATCAGCTGCCATATTTTCAACTGCACAATGCTACGAAATACGTCTCGAACTGCTTCAATCACTCGCAGTTACTACAAAATGACACGACCTGATTAAAGTCACGTGATTTCTCGATACGAAGCCGCGAATGCGTCAAATCCCAGCGGGAATTTTAAAATTTTCATTGTCACTATGATTCCTTTAGCAATTCCTGATAATTATCAAAACAAACACTTTTAAATGTTTATAAAACACTTGAACACAACAGACAAATATGGCCAGTGCATAAAAACTCAGCCAAACATTCACATTAGCTTGAGTGAAAGTTTTTACGAAATAAGAGCCATAAGGTGAATGTATAATTTCTATTGAAAACTGGCTTAATTAGGCTGAAGACACTTTAGAATGTACGCAATACGAATTAAATATGGAAATATATTTCGTGCTCTTTAATTGGGCAGTTTATGCCGTTTTTGCTCCTGCCCTTTAAGCACCAGTTTCACTTCGGTCAGTCTAGAAGGCACAGAATGGGGGAATAAATGCGGTTTAACAGTCAATGATGGTCTATTTTTAATAAAACTGAAAATGGAGTTTCTATTCACATTTATCTCATTCGCCCTGAATATCCAAATAATAATTTTAGCAATTACTTTATTTAATAGATTCAAAGGTTGAAGTCCCTCAAATGGTTATCGAGTTGTTGAACTGGGTAGTAAATTCAAGTATTATCTAATCTATGATTATGATAAACTTTTTTTTCATTGTGTATTTCGTTCACTTTAATACCCAGAAAATAAACGGTGCAAAAGAAAAAAAATCCTGGACAGGTTTTAGATTTCTCCGGCAAACTGTACAGAATATTTTCTTCTATTAGTAGTTATATACAACTGAGCTGTCTCCTTTAAAAATTCGGATATTGCAAGTCTAAGCAAGGAGGAATTAAATTTTTTTTCTATCTTTAGACGATAATTGACCCTAAAGATGCTGCAACTTTCATAAAAATAGCCGAGAATTCTGATTTTTGCCGATCACATGTTCGGATTTAAAACCAAAGCGCTCGCTCTCTTCTTTAAAAATTCGGTTCATCCAAACTAAAGTATAGAGCAAAATCACAATCTGAAGGTCTGATTAAAATCACCTAAACTCCTGATTTTCGATATTTTCGTAAATATCGCTCCCGAAAGGGATATTTTATCTAACCGCGCTCTCCGTGAAAGAAAAGCTTTGAAATTTTCACCATATTCAGAAGAGACTCGACCCTAAAGATACTGAAAGTTGGATAAAAATCACTCAATAATTCGATTTTTGCCCGCTTCGAAAATATCGCACTCAAAAAGGATCTTTTAACCAACTGCGCGCTCCCCGTTAAAAAATCGCATCTTCCCCACTGAAGCAAGGAAAACTTTCAAATATTCACTTACTTTTGATGGAGCTTAACTCTAAAAGAACTGTGAAGGCAAATCGCTCAATATCTCAGAAATGGTTGAAAATATCAGTTTTTCCATTTAAAAACTCCGACTTATCCGACTCTAAGCCCCTGACTCAGATGAAAACCGACTTGAATTTTTTAAGCAAAAACCACAGTCACAAGGTATAAGATCAGGAGATCGAATTTGCTCAGAAGTGGACGGGAATGCCAAAAACAGTTTTTATTATAAGAGAAAGAGCAGCGTTCGATTTTTGCCAAAAATACGAGGATTTGTGATAAAATAAAACACTTGGAAACATTGTAATGTAGTCCACAGTATAATAAATACTGGTATACTTCAGAATTACATTATAAATATACAATGTGTATCGGTATAATTTATTTTTGTGGTTTTTAAAATATTTTCTGAAAATAACAATTTCCCACAAAGCAATAATTGTTCAAACACTAACTTTTTTTTATAATAAAACATTATATCATTTACGAGTCACAGATATTTACGAACAAGAACGGTTGCATTTTTTTCAGAGGAGAAAAACATGACGCAGATGGCGGATATTATGAAGGAGAACATCGAATGATAAAAACACACTGTTGTATCTTGTGCCTTGTTTTTTTCCTTAACATCGTGAAAATACAACGTTTTATGTTTACATCAAAAAGATTTGCATCGCATAGACTACACTTTAGAAAACCACTGCTAAAGGGATGGTTGAAACGAAAGAAGACTTTTGATATCAGAACGTCTATACGGTGAAAACGGTTTTTGACTTTCGTGTACATAATATATAATAATATTCACGCTACAAGGCATTTATAGTCACAATTTTAATGTGAAATGTTACATTACCCGAAAATCATCCGAAAAAGTGATTTTGGCGTAATTTTGGTTGTTAAACATATTGTCAAAAATTTAATACATAATAATTCAAATCTGTACATTTAGTTATTGAATATATATTATTATATAAACGTAAACGTTGCAAAATTTCTTAAATATTTGGAAAATACCTTTTTTGATATTGTTTTTTTGGGTATTTTGGATATGAAAGAGTACATATATTTTGGTCCCAGTTATATCTGTAATCTAACGGTAGAAGGTGGTTTTGTGTGTTTGGTTTGGATAATCTGTATGGCATATTTTAAAACAGGGAGAGGCATTTAATGAAGCTAAGTAAACCGAATATACAAAAATCGAGTATAAAAATTCCTTCTACTATACATTGCGAATCTCTACAATTTTTCAGTCTTTGGCAATTTTTTCTACCAATCACATTTTTTAAATATTTTAGATTGATTTCTACTTTCCCTAATAAAAATTACTAACACATCTAGATAATATCTTTTGATCTGACTCACCAACGAACAGGTACAAAATTATAAAATGAGAACATGTACAAATTCGAAAAGACACTTAGTGAAAATGTTGGGTTTGATTTTTTTCAAAAACGCTGTAAAAATTGTACACTACTGGAATGCAATCAAGCGACTAAAGTCCGAAGGGAAAAGTAAATATTCCTTTCGAAATATGCCATTCATTGAACGTTAACCGGTCTATTTCAGTTTGAACCTGTATAATGCTACCACAATGATGAAGAGATAGAGAAAACCCCTAAATGTAAGAGCTACATTACTATTACGTACTAAAAGTATCTCTAAACGCTATCATTAGTTAAGTGCCGCCACCATATTAGTGTTTCCTGTACAAAAAAACTCTAGTGGATATTAAATCTAACCTTGTACTTTAAGTGTCATAAGTATGACTTCATAGATACTACCGACTACTTAAGTATACACTCTGTATAAGAACCTTCTAAAAAATATCTGTTCTGGCAAGTGAAACGATGTGTAACAATTGCTTTGTACAAAAGTGGCTGATAATTTAAACAATTAAGAGTTAAATAATGGAAAAATAAAACCTTGAGAAATCCAAACAAAAAACCTACTCTAAACTCAAAAAAACAAATGCCATTTAAAGCGAAAGTTGCTTGAATTGCAGCGATTCCCAAAAAAATGTAATAAAATAAATGTTAATTATATACAGGGTGGCCCAGGCTCCATAAGTATGCTGGATTATTGGGATTGGTTGAAACATGGTTTGGTTTTAGTTTTTTCTGAATGTTGCTGAGATCAAATGAGGCAAAACTCTAATTTGCCCGGATTATCAATTTTCAAAGAAACGTCAATTCCTATGGCATTCAGCGCTAGTTAAGATTTCGAAAAATTTCCAGAATTTTTCATTCTACCTCAAAAATTTGTTGATTTTCGGGAAAATAGAAAGTTCCGGCACATTTTAATGCCGTTTTCTTCACAAATCGGGCGGTTTTTGCAAAAAAACCGCAATTTTCCTAGTTGKCAATTATCTGACGTTGGCTGTCAAGCGGATAATTCGCCTTCACTTAACCCTTGAAATTAACCCTTGAAAGTCCGGTAGATTTCAAGTTTTCAATTAATTTTGAAACAGAGCTGATTTTGAAACAGAGCTGAGCAGCTAATGGTAAGTGGACTTGTTTAATTCATTAACGCCATTGGATTTAGCCACAAATGCACCAATCATGAGCTCGATAATCCCCATACATTGAGCATATGTTTATAAAATACATTTTACAAAGAGTAATAAACTTTGACCACCCGCTTTAATAAATTAAGAAATTAATTAAAATCGCCTTGTTAGTAACAAACACATCAACTCCACTACGTAATAAGTGACGAAGCATAAAGAATCTACAAGAAATCGTTTTGCAAAACCGAAAGTTTGCGTTATTTTGCTAAAAATACCGTTCTCTTCATCAAAGTGGTTAAATGTGGGAATTGTTTGTGGATACTATTGTTACATATGGTTGGTGTAGTGTTTTTTTCGGATTTCACCTTTTCTTTGAGTTGTTTAAGAACACATATACGAACGGCATTGGAGTCACGTCGTCCATGTGGCTTTAAATCTCCGAAACCGGTTAAAATCGAAAAAAACTATTTGGAAATTTTAACGAGTTTCTCTGTTATTTAGCAGGCACACAAATATTTAATTATTTAAAGTGTGCTAAAATTACTATTTACACGACATTAAAGCGAAACTTAAGTATTAAGTCACCTAAGCTAGACAACTAAAATTATTTAACAAATACATTGTTATATAAAATCATTAAAATTATGTGTATGTAAAAAAATATGTAGGAAAACTATAAAAAGTCTTATTCGTGAGAAAACTATTGTGGAATGATAAACTTAAACATCTAGCAAAAAGACCTTGGTCCATTACGTTTTTAAATGAAAATACTGACACTTTAGGGTGCATAGATCAACCTAAGGATAGAAAACTTAATATTTATATTATTTGCATAGTTCATTTTAATAAAACTGTATCTAAAACAATATAAAAAACATCCTATAAGCTAGCTGTTTAATGATCAAATGTAATCGTCCTTAGATAGTTTGAAATCATTTCCGGATTTTCGATTAAAACTACGCTAATGACAGAATATAATCAGTATTAGTAAAATGACCTATACTGACGAAATCTCAAATCCCTTTTGTAAAAAGGCTCAATAACATTAATAGTTTTTAAAAATAAAAACTTTCGTAAATTATACTCCTAATAGAACACATCGATTGCTATAAACATATTTTCCTGGAAATATATCAATTTCTGAACACTTTTATCAAGTAGATCAGTTAAAAATATTTTATACGCGTATACTTCTTAAGGTTCTGTTTACACTGTTGGAGTTCCATTGGTTTGGACCGCGTTTTAGTCGAACAACTAAATGAATATAAATCGATCATCGCTCACTAGTACATTTAATTTAATGTTTATTTGCAAGTAAACGATCATGTCACTTAGCCCTTCGACTATCATAAGGAAACAATAATCAAAAAACGTCAAACAGTGGTGTCTTTATAACAAATTATCACAAACATAATAAAAAAAATAAAACGAAAACAGTTCATAACACTAGATATTAAAATTGCACAAATTAGTGACACACCTGTTTTAACAGTTTACATTTCGCAATTTAGTACATTGTATACTACAAGCTGAAACGGTTTCTTGTAGGCCCGAATAAGAACATTTTGGAGTCGAAACCTTTGCTGATGCGAGCTTTTTTCATTTCTGTGTTTGGAAAAACCTTGATATTCGGGCCCACTCATCGCAAGCGGAAAGTGAAACGCACAAACATTTAAAACAGTGATTTTTTTGTTATAAAATCTTACAACTACAAACGGCGAAGTCGAAATGGCTTCAAAACTGCAACACATTTATTTAGTTTTATCGCGAATCAAATGTATCGGTGACCAACGAGGCGCCTTCGAAACAGCCCGCGATCACATATTTTTTTTAATATGTGTGTATCATCTTATTTATATTTTGTTATAAATATCTCAATGCTAATCTTGTGAATAAAAAATCTGGCACATATATGGTTGGAATGTTTATGTTTGTGGATTCGGTTCGGTTTCCTTGTGACCGATTTTTGATTTTTCATATAGAAAAGCCGGTATTTTCTGCGAAATGCCTCGTATCGCATATGTACAGTTAAAGGTATTTACCAAAAGCGAGTTTGGACTAGCGAACACATATTTTCTCACGTAATGGCATTTTTACGTTAAATACAACACATAGGGTGACTGAAAACCAACTCGAATCCGCAAAAGATATGTATGAAAAGCATATCATTTTTATATACAACATACAGCAAGTATTTGGTCCAACTTAAATATGTGTAAGTTTACTGTTGTGGTTTGAGTGACATCAGACTAGTTGCGCAACAAATATACATTACATTGTTTTTCTAATGAAATTTCGAGCAACTGGAACAATTCGTCTATTGCAATTTTCATCAAAATCAAGTCGGAACAAGCAATTCAAGTTTATAAACTGTTTCATTTACTTGGCAAGTATGAATGCTTGCTTGTGTTGATTCAATCCAGAGTTCAAAAGCGGTTATGTATATTTATTGCAAAACCATCCTAACAATCTAAATAACTGTCGGTATCGGTTCGGTTTATGGTTGGTTGTAATCATCTGACGGTTGTTGAAAAAGGGGAAAGAAGCACTTTTAAACTCTACCTGGAGTCAATCTTTTATCTCTCGAACAAAATAGCTTCCATTTTCAAATATATAATATACTTTTAATATATCTTATATACTAATTAATATTGATGTAAATATATATGTATTATGTATATACCATCTAATTGCACTTCATTGTTATATGAAATTAAAACCGAAAACAATAAAATCAAAATATCACGCGGAAAACTGATAATGCAGATGGTGTTATCTTATTTTATTAGTTTTCCTGTTCAGCAACGTGTTTCACAAGATTTGTTCTAAGAAAGCAGCCAATTTTAAATGTTGTTGTTTCGCTTTGAAGATTTAGCATGTTGAAGTTTATATTTACGTTTCAAATAAAATTTAATAGCCGTAAACGAAGCCAACGTTTTTATAAACCTAACAAGGCTTTGATGCACCTAAATTATCATCCTCAGGAATTTTTAAACAATTAATTAAGTAACTAAATATTTATACAGTGCTGAGTAACAACTGTGGCCCGTTTATTGTTTCGAAAGCGGCTTCAAACGAATTTCTATAAAAATGATTTTCCTAATGAAGCGTGCCAAAATGGAAATAACATAAAACTTTCACACCCTGTATCGCGAAGACTAAACACTGTGACTGATACTTTCAGTTTTTTCTAATTTGTAATCAAATGTTAAAAAATGTTTGTGGTAAAATAAATCTACAATTTCTTTAGAGCAATATTGCACAGAAGCCAAAGTCAAATTAATGGTGTGTAGTTCGAATTTTCCTCAGTTACTTAACGTTTTATTCATTCAATGAATCTTAAGAGTATTCAGTTTGTATTTTGCAAAAAGTAGATTGTTTTGAACACAATCTAACGAAACACGTTGCTAATTAAACATTAATTTTTATAATTTCCATATCAATTAACTACCTGCTAGTTGTTTAAATTTTATATAAGATTTAAGATATTTTTAGAGAAAATATACATCAAAAATTTTGATTAAATCACAGATAGATATAATTTTTCATCATTCAATCAATCGGCGGGACGCGTCCCATTAATGGTTTTCTACTTAATATCATATTTCCATTTAATCATCAAAGCAGCTCAGTATGTTATGCGAATATGAAAGAGTGATTTTTTATACAATTTTTTGAGGTATAGGCGACACGTCAAGATACACAGATAATACATGTAAGAATTTTTACATTATGCCAAATACACCGAATGAGTAGACACTTAAGGCAAGGGGAAAGGCCGAATGGCTGTAATTTCGTCTTAATTACCAGAAAAGATCTCGCAGTTTCACTGATAAGAAACTGAAATTGTTCAGCAGGGTCTTTTTAAAAGCCGTAATTCGCTACTCTCGTATAGCGGGCATTCAGGTGGAAAATTCAAGATATTTTCTGAGACTTCGCGAGTAGGCAAGTCGACCATTCCACTCGCTATTATAGAATTTTATGAGTATATACTTTAGAGTCAAAAAACACCTAATATAAATATTAACAAGTCTGCTTTGATGTTTACCAGTTAGCTAACCTACACGAAAACAGAGGTAAAAAACGAAACAATAAATATCAACAAACACGTCATATCGGGCTCATTTGTTCTAATAAACTTACAACCACGTCGATGGCGCCTTTTTGTGCCGGCTGCCATCGATCTCTGCGATTTTTAGTAAAAAAATCTGCTTTTTACAAAAGGTAGGTGTCAGTCTTGGGGTGCGTCGTTATCTGAGGCACTGCTTCCTGCTGTACTCTCTGCCGTTGCTCCTGCTCCATTTCTATAACCAAATTATTCACCATTAAATGTTTTTCAAAACAACATCAAACTATAAGCAAATGCAGAAACTTTAAATCGGTACTACAAAAAATTTACAATTTTTGTTCAAGACTACTATGCAGAGACAAAATTGTTCAAGTCGTACCTTTCAAGCAGGAGATCGCGAAAACGCACCAGCATCTCAGGTTTGAGATTTTCCGGGTTAACCAAGTCCTGCTTTAAGTAGATTCTTGGATGTTTCCGCTCCGGTTCAACGGATTCTTCATCGCGACTTCTTTTCCTGTCCGGTGTTGTTGACGATTCCGTCGAGTCGTTTGATAGTTCTACCGGATGGGCCATCGTATCCGCGCTTTCTCGATGCGAATGAGGCGACGTTCGGTGCTTCGAGTCTTCTTGCAGATGGACTGAGTGGTTCGCTCCTGCAAATTGAATCGGTTTTTGCTAGGCTGGGGATAATCACCGTGAAACCTACCGGTAGATGAGAAATTTAACGGACTAGAGCTCTTTCTGTACGATTCATCCCCTGAACTGCTCGCGTCTGTTAAAGTCGGTTTGGGTAGCGGCGTTAGTCGGCTATTGCGGCACAGCTGATCTAGCAGCGCTTTATTCGACATGTTTTCAGGGGCCGTGTTCTTTTCCTCCCTTGGCAGCTTCTCATCGGATATGGGAACCCCTGATTCCAAACTGGACCGGATTATTCCGTCCAAAAACGATCTAGAATCAAATTAGTGAAGAACGACTCAAGTGAATGTGCGTGTTGGGTTTACCCATTGGGTCCAGACCCATCCAGCAAGGATTCAGCCATTTGTCTGGCACTTTTCACTAGAGTTGTCACCCCACCCTGGGGCGATGGAGTTCCTAAACTCCGTTCCCTCTCCTCCTGCAGCTTCTGCATCATTTGGGAGGCAAAAAACTCGCTGGGTGAGAGAAATGGCGCCGCCATGGGATTGGGAGGGAAGCCTGGATGTGGCCAAAAGGGGAACGGTGAATGATAGTTGCCAGGCGCCAGCCCAGCCGCTGCAGCTGGACTAAGTCCGGCAGCTGCAGCTTCAAACAGCGGCAACTTAATGCCGTTGGATGACGAACCCGGAAACTTTTGTTGCGGGGGCTTAATCACGTTCTGCTGCTGTTGTTGCTGCTGCTGTTGCTGTTGCTTCAGCTTTTCCTGAAGGAAAACGGACAACATTAAGATCAGTTGCTGCTGTAATGGTAGACGCAAACCGACCTGAGCAATCTTGAGGTCGTTTTGTTTCAGACTAGCTATCTTCTCATCCACTGGATTGGGTTTCGGGTCCCGCTTCCGCGGCCGCATTAAGTGCCGCTCTTTCACTTTGTATTCGAGAGTGGAGTGCGGAACGCCGTAGTAGCTTCCGGCTCTATGCACGGACATTTCCCCTCTTTGCACAGCCCTCACTGCTTCCACCAAGCTGTCTCTGTCGTAGTTCCTGTACTTGCCTCGCTTTGGCCTGGTGCCTGCGAATATTACTTCTCTAAGTATCATGCAGTTATCGCTTTCACAAGGAAGAGAGATCTTAGAGCTCTAAGACAAATATGGGAACAAAATACATGTCTGACACTGTTAAATATCTTGGGGTAACCCTGGATAAGAAGCTGTTGTTTAGAGAACATGTGGAACAGAAAAGAAACAAGGCGATCAGGGCTTTATGGAAAGCGACTGATTTGGAACACAGTACGATCTTCTGAAAGTTGAAGACGGTCGAACCCATGGGATCAAAAGCTGATCGAATTAAAACTCTAAGCATCTCAGTACCGTTCAGAACCGATGTTCTAAACGCGGGGCGAGATGGTGGAGAGACTCCATCAGCTATCACAGGGGACTCCGTATGGTACACGGAAGGCATAAAAACAGCGTCGGGTACAGGTGCTGGTATAGTCGAAAGAGGAAGAACTGGGGAAAGGATTACCTTAAACCTGGGTACAACTAGGACAGCTTTCCAAGCAAGCATCCTAGCAATAAGAGCCTACACACGTAAGCACATTACCATCGTAACCGGAGATGAAGCTACAATAAAGGCATTACAATCGTACACAATCAGGTCACAATGTGTGCTAGATTGTGCAAAAGAACTTACAACCCTGGCCGGGAGCTCAAACAGAGTAAAACTCACTTGGGCAACGGGTACGAACAGGAGCAAAGGAAACGAGATTGCTGCGGAACTTGCTAAGACAGGGACCGAAAAACCACTGACCAACCAAGAACCTGCTTGTGGTATATCTCATGCCATTGGAACAACATAGAAAGTATATGAAGGCTTTCACGGCCGATTAAATCACATTT